CACACCCTTCTTTGATTACTGCTCATTGTGTTGGGTGACAACTGTAGACACTGATGGTATCACCTGTGAGTTTGTATTTCATGCTGGCCTGTGTGCCTTTTCCTGGGGCCATGGGAAACAGCCTTTTTAGTATTCATATGTTCAGCTGGAGTCTGCCCTTGGCCCAGGCTGTGTCATTCCCATTGTCTTCGCTGTCCTTGGGTTTTTCTGTCATTCACCCCTGTGCTGTGCACACTGAAACAGGAGCAGTTCTCTTCTGACTCCTCCTCTGTCAGGCTAAGATGTTAATTTTTATTGGTTCCAATTTGTAAATTCAACTCAGTGAGCCACACAAAAGGCCTGGTGTTCACAGGGACCTTGCCACCTCTGTGCTCAGAGCAAATTGGATCTAAGGTATCTGACGCGGAGCAGTTTCCCTCCTCTCAGTGACCACTAACCCTCTCCCCATGCTTTCTACCCACAGGTTAAGGACTGCCACTGGGCACTCAAGAGCTCTCTCATAGCTGGCAGCCTGGTGCACTCACTTTTTGGGTTTCTGGAAAAAAATCTATGCTTAATATTTTAAAGCCTTGTTCTAAAAAGGGACAGTTAAGTCTCCCCGGGCCCTGAAACTGCCCTTCAGAGACAACCAACACTGATATTCCCTGTGTCTTTTATTGACACTTTTGTTAAAATTTTTTAAATGTGCCAGGTGCCTTTAATCTCAGCACTCGAGAGGCAGAGGCAGGTGGATCTCTGAGTTTGATGCCAACCTGGTCTACAAAGCTACATGGAGAAGCCCTGTCTTGAAACACCCCCAAAATACATTTTTGATATTTCTAAGTCAGCACATGACAAACCACCTCATATTTTCTTGCTATGAGTATTATAATATTTTGTGTGGTTTTAAAGATTTACTTACTGTGGAAAGATGAAAACAAGGAAGATGTAATTATTTTATTTATATATGTGCATGTCTGTGTGATGTGTGCACATGAGAAAGCAGGAGGTGGCAGGGCTGGGGCCCCCTCCATCTTTCTCTGTCCATTGCTTCAAGGCATGGTCTTCCCCTGAACCCAGGGCTCTCATTTTGTCAGTGAATCTGGATGCTAGCAAGCCCTAGGGAAACGCCTGGCTTCACCCTACTCAGAGCATAGGTCACCCAGCTTGTTACATGGGTACTGTGTAGAAATGGTTTTCAAGGTTTTGTTTGTTTTCAAGATTCAGTGTTCCTAAGGATATATTGAACTATGTTGCTTGGGTGTGTAATGTCTCTCTGTCTCTTCCAGTTGGATGATGGTTAGAGGTTGAAGTTGTTGGTAGTATTGGTTGTCTCTTGCAGCCACTCATCCAGGTGGTGGTGGCAATGCATGGGCTGAGGGGGGATGCCCTGTCTTCTGGTGCCAGCTCCTATTGCTTTACCAGTCGTGCTGGGATTAAGATCGAGCCTGTAGGAGAAAACACAGGGCTAATGAGTAAGTGGAACAGGGCCCACGGCATGGCTGGGCACTTGAGGGAGTTTGGGTTAACCTTGTTTTTTTGTTTTGTTTTGTTTTCTAAAGGTGTTAGGGAAATTGGGAGGAACAATTTATAAATTTCCTTCCTTCCTTCCTTCCTTCCTTTCTTTTTCTTTCTAATTGCACAGTGTTCTGTCTGCATGTATGCCTGCAGACCAGAAGAGGGCACCAGATCTCATTACAGATGGTTGTGAGCCACCATGTGGTTGCTTGGAATTGAACTCAGGACCTCTGGAAAAGCAGCCAGTGCTCTTAGCCTCTGAGCCATCTCTCCAGCCCCCCAATTTATAAAAATTTAAAGTTTGTTTAGCAAGTTACTCCTGAGCAGTCAGTCCCTTGTTCTTCCTTTTTTATATACTTGATTTTTGAGTAATAAATGAGGGCATTAATTATGGTTTGTGTGGAGAAATGCCACAAGAGACATGAATTTCCCAAAGTTGGCAAAAGGAGATAAAAGTTTTAGATACGTAAGCAGGGCTACTGTCAATTTCCATCTGTTTTGGGACTCCCCATTAAGAGAAAGCAGTGTCTGCAAACAGCTCAAGCAGACTCATGTGTCTGAGCCATAGAAAAGATAAAGTCTGAAGAGGTCTCAGTGCAAACATGAACAGATTTAAAACAACCAAAGGGATGGATGTGGGTTATATCCATTTGTCAAAGGTCATCAGGATGAAGTCCATAGGGGTGGACTCTTTGGTATAGTTGGCCCAGCGACTGTCAGTCAGGGATTGACAGTGATTGAGCTTATGTCTGCGCTAATTAGAATTGTTTCATAGAGCTTTGGTTTCTTGATAAAAGGAGTGAGAAACAGCAGCTGCTGAGAGAGACATGACTTCCCCATGTGAAAAATGGTTAGTGTGTTAGATATAGGATATCTACTGACTGGAGAGAAAAACATATGTGGGAAGTAATAGAATTTCACATAGATCTTTACTTGTTTTTTTGGTTGGTTGTTTGGTTTGGTTTTTATTGTTGTTTTTTGTTTTGGGGTTTTTTTTTTTGTTTGGTTGGATTTGTTTTTTAGTTTTGTACTGGAACCCACACTCTTGCCATCATGATTGCATAGCCATCTCTGCTGCTTTCCCACTTAGCCATCCCATCCCCTTTGGCACTGTTGGAGATTCTGTTCCATAGCTTTCTTCTGCAGTGTTCCTCTCTGAAACTTTGCCACTTCTTGTTTTATTAGTTTGGATTCTGTTAATGTCATTTTAAAAAATGCCCAAGGCTATCTACAGAAGGAAGGGTTTATTTGGGCTTACAGTTCCTGAGGGATAAGAGTCTGTGAGCGCCACCACAGGGAATGTGGTAGCCATAGAGATAGCAACAGCCAAGAGCTCACCTGTGGAACACAAGCAGGAAGCAGAGGGAATGAACTGGAGATGGCACACAGCTTTGAAACCTCAGGGCTCATTCAGTAACACACTTTCTCCAGTAATGCCACCTCTCCTAAACCTCCCAGATAGTGCCACTCTCTGAGCCCAGTGTGGTGGATGTTCTCATTCAAACCATCACAGTTGTTTTAGAAGTAGGGTCTGATTATTTAGCCCGGACTAGCCTAGAACTCGCAAAGATTCACCCATCCGTCTCCCAAGTACTAGATCTAAAAGTGTGTGTCACCATACCCCACATCTACCTTTATGGTTTTTTTGTTTTTGTTTTTTGAGACAAAGTGTGTCATTGAACTGGAGTTGTAATTTGACTAGGTAGGCTGGCTGAGCAGTGAGCCTGGGAGACCCACCCATCTCCACCTCCCCAGCTCTGGGATTACAGGTGTATATGTACCACTGCATGGCAGTAGTTCATTTTGTTTTTTTGTCTAAGGATCAAACACAGGTCGTTATGTTTATGGGTGCTTGGACAAGCACTATCCACTACTGATCCATCCTGTCTGCTTTAGCTACCTGAGAGTTGTCAGTCAGCTGGGTTATGCTAGCAGCTTTGCAGGGTGCACTGGGTATCTGCATACTGGTCTGAGATCACTTCCACCATTGGCCATGGTGCTGGCTTTGAGTTTGGACATTCTTCTTCAACATCGATTTAAATAAATGGTTTTACTAAGGGCTTTTATCAAAAGGATTACCAAGAGCCTTCTAGCACAAAGACACATTTCTCCCTCCTCCCCACTTGACTCTGGTGTGGCAGAACTAAATGTGCGGTCCCTTGGAAACTGGCAGCAGCCTTCTTGAGCACAAGCTGTTTTCCAAGAGCAACTGATTGGTGGGACACTTGCTTTCAGACTCACCTGAGGCTGGCAGTGTGCAGCAGCTCTCAACGTGTGTGTCTCTTCAGACAAGTGTCTGTCCCCCAGCATGTAAAGGAGGGAGCCCAGGCACCTGTGCAGACAAGTCTCTGCCCCCAGCGTCATTCAACCCTCTGCATAGGAAGGCTGTCCTGTACCTCTAGTGTGGATGTTGACATCATAAGGGGCCCAGACCATGCCAGGGGGTTGAAGTATCCACTGAGAAATCGATCCCGTGAGTGACTTTAAGGGGCATCATCTCATCTTGAGGTGATTTAAAGACTTAAGTACTCCTTGAAAAATAATGGGGGCTGCAAAGATAGCTTAGCAGTTAAGAGCACTGGCTGCTATTCCGGAGGACCTGGGTTCAATTCCCAGCATCCACATGGCAGCTCACAGCTATAACTCCAGTTCCAGGGGATCTGGACTCTGCAGGCACTGCATGCACGCAAAACATCTATATACATAAAATAATTTTTTTTTTGGTTTTTCGAGACTGGGCTTCTCTGTGGTTTTGGAGGCTGTCCTGGAACTAGCTCTTGTAGACCAGGCTGTACACAGAAAAACCCTGTCTCGAAAAACAAAAAAACAAAACAAAACAAAAAAAATCTCTGGGAGCCTCATCTGAAAAATGAAGTCGGGTCCTTTTATTGACCTGACATTCTGAGGTTGGAGCTGTACATTATTGTTTTTTGGTTTTTTGAAACAGGGTTTCTTTGTGTAAATAGTCCTGGCTGGCCTGGAACTTACTTTGTAGACTAGGCCAGCCTCAAACTCACAGAGATCTGCCTGCTTTCTGCCTCTTGAGTGCTGGGATTAAAGGCATACACCACCCCCTCCCAGCATGTTTTCTTGAGCAACCATGTTCGTTGGTTCTGGTTTCCTGAAGCCATCAAGAAGGCCATGCTTGGGCTAGAGAGATGGCTCAGAGGTTAAGAGCACTAGCTGCTCATTCAGAGGTCCTGAGTTCAATTCCCAGCACCCACATGGTGGTTCACAACTGTCTGTAATGAGATCTGGTGCCATGCAGGGATACATGCAGACAGAAAACTGTGTACATAATAAATTTTTAAAAAGGCCATGTTTGACAGCACTGGTTTCCTCTGTCACCCACTAGGGAAATTGGCCTGTTCCCTGGACCACAGACTCAACCTGGAGCCTGGCTTCCTCTGTACTTGTGTACTACACTCTGGCCTCCCATGGTAGCTGCTTTTTACCAGAACTGCAGATCCTGGCATGGGCCTCAGACTCTGTTCTGTTCCTAGGTTTGTCAGCCACTGCAAGCAAGAAGAGTGTCAGTGAACTCCTCCATCATACTGCAGTTGGAGATGGACGGAGCTCCCTAATTCAGACTGCTCCAGCCACCCTGGAAGACAGCAGCACTGCTGCCAGCCTGCTTCTCCAGGTTCAAACTCGGTAACAAAAGGTAGTCCTGACAGCAGCAAGCTGTTCTGGAAAGTAGGTTACGTGTGTCTCCTTGGCTTAGTTCCCAGCCCTAACCCCTTTCCAACTGCTGATGTCAGAGGGTCAGTACAGAGAGAAATGGCTTTGTATATTGTTGTGTTATTTTGAAGAGAATTATGTTACAATTGTTTTTTGTTGTAAATAAAACACATTCTTGTCCTAGCAGTATATGGTACAAATTCATTGTGTGAATTGGATGCAGCTCCTGAAGTCTGTGATCAGGCAGAGGGAAGACATTTTCAGGGAACAGCTAGCAGGAATTGGGTCTGTTTAGTAGAGCCTCTGATTCTCCATGCACCTGGGTGAGGAGCACTTGACACCTCTCTGGGGGGAACTGTGGCCAGACAAGTTCCTTGGAAACTGGAAGCCAAATACTATTTCTGATGGACCCTTAAGTCTTCCTCCACTGTCCTGTACTGCCTGTACTGCCTCCTGGGGCTGAAGCCGCAGTGCCCCTCCCTCTCAGCTGCCTCCCAGCTGTTCACTCTCAGCAGCATGTAGACTACAGGGTCCTCTACAGTGCACTCTCTCAAGTTGACTGACCTCTTCTTTGCAGCTTGGAAGTGCACTTTCATGCCTCCTCTCAGCCAGGTTTCTGTGGGCTGCCCCACCTAGCTGGGTTTCCCTAGACATTCAGGAAGATTTAGCCCTCTAACCTCCTACCACTGAAAGCCACTCAAGGGCGTCCATATCCTGAAGATATTCCAAGGTGAAGACCCATGGAGGCCACATACCTGCTAGTGTGCCCCCCCAACACACACAAAGGCCCCGGCTGCAGAGCACAGTGGGCCAGGATGGCCTCTGCCTGGAGAAGATGGCACATGCTGAGAATTGGGGCAGGAGAACTTCCCAGCAGTTCAGTGCTAGATATTCCTGGTGCTGCTATTAGCCTCAGGAAAGAGCTACAAGAGGCACTGAGAGCCTGGCCAATACTCCCAAACCTATTCTCAGATGTGGACCATGTCCTGGCTTCATCAGGCTATAGATGTCCCTCTATCCCTCTAGAGTCAGGGGCCCACATCCTGTGGTGATAACCCATGATCCTCTACCGAGTTGTCTTTCTCAGGAGGGATGGGGGGTTGAGACAGGGCCTCACTTTATAGCTCACCATGTAATCCAGGTTGTCTTGAACTTAGATCCTTTTTCCTCAACTATCTTGACTATTCCAGGCTGCACCACCAAATATGGCTGTCTCTATAGATGAGATTGCTGGTCTTTAATAGCTCTCAGGTTGTCCAAATACTTAGAAATGAGCCAGGTGATGGTGGCTCATACCTTTAATCCCAGCACTTGGGAGGCAGAGGCAGTCAGATCTCCAAGTTCCAGGAGAGCCTGGTCTGCAGAGCAAGTTCTGGGACAGCCAGGGCTATACAGAGAACCCTGTCTTGAGAAAACATTGAGAAAGGAGCTCAAGCTCTAAACTGTAGGGTTTCTGGCAAGGCCAGCATCCCTCAGGAGCTTGTGAGACCAAGCTGGGGTCACTTCCCTTCCCCTGGCAGAGGGGACAAAGGGCTACTTGTGGCTGTAAGACCCCCGGAAGCTCAGGCCTCCAGAATCTTTTCCCAGGACTGCGGCCACCCCAACCAACAGGGAGGAGGCAGAAACTTGATGCATACAGCAAGAGGCTTTAATGAAAGGTAGACGTTTGTACAAACGGGCTCTCTCAGCATGCAGGCTAGAGAGCAGCCCCGTCCCCCAGGCACAGGCGTTTTTAAAGGCAAAATCATAAGCTTAGGGAGGGGTCTCGACTCTCTGTCCGTTGAGTATGTGACCAGAGTCAAGGGTTACTAGGAAGCTCTTTGTCTTGAGGGGAGGCCTGGAAATCAGATGGCCTCCTGATCCCACCAGTTGTAAAACCTGCAGACCTCAGGATGTGCTAACTAATGGTAGCTATCTCTTTGTTTCATAGGGACCCTTAACTGTTAATGAGGGTGGCCATCTGGGAATTCTTGGTACCCAGTTATCTTATGGCCTTGTAAGGGAGTAATTGCTGGTGACTGGTAAATTCCAGGCACTAAGTCATAGTAGTAGTCTTGGTCAGTTTCTGAGCTAATTTTTAAGTCTTTCAGTGGCTATGTATCAAAGCCCACCCAACCTCGAGGTGACTCAGTATCACAAGCACCTGTCACACATTTCAGAGTCTACACTAGCATCTCAGTCCTCTCTCCTCCATCTCTCGGCTGCCCTCCCAGCTACTCATCCTTATACTCCAGCTTGTTTGTTTCTGCCTAGCCCCTCCACCCCCCATGCTTTATTCCCTATCTCTTGCTACCTCACTGTCTCCACTATTTTCTTTCCCACTTCCCTAGCCCTGGCGATACTCAGTCTGCCTACTTCTTTCTCTGCCCTGGACTCTGCCAGATGACTCAGGTTATTGTCTCATATTTACAATAAAAACTGCCACCTTGATCATACAATGGAGCAGTCATGTCGAAGGTTTGTTTTTGTTTTTGTTTTTTCTGTAATTCCTTGCATACTAGCAAGTCTTGATTGGCAATTTGCCTGGGTTTACAATCAGCTAGGTGTCTGCATGTACACACAAAATAAATAATGTCAAAATTGGGGGGGGGTTGCAGATATGGTGATATACTTCTGTTGTTCTCTTGTTTCAGTTTAAAAATATAAAGGCGCAAGATGAGACATGAAAACGAGAGATATATTAACCATAGTTTATTCCAGGTGGGGGAGAGAGACACAGAAGAGGAAGAGAGAGAGCGAGTAGGGAAGAGGTAAGAGAGTGGGTAAGAGAAGAGAGAAAAGAGAGCGTAAATGGACAGGGGTCTGTCTTTTAAAGGGGTCCTTTACACCAGCATTCAGACTTAGTTCCCATGGAACTCTGGCCTGACCAGGGTACTGCCTGAGTGGATTTTTGCCAGGTAACAAGGCCAGGCCTGAACCTTTCAACATCTTTAATCTTAGTGCTTTGGAAGCAAGAGGCAGGCAGGTCTCTGAGTCTCATAGCTAATTCCTGCCCAGACAGGGTAATATAGTGAAACCCTATTTCAAAGGGAGTAGGGTTTGGAGCAATGGCTCAGTTAAGAGCATGCCAGGCAGCTCCCAGGGACCCAACACCATCTGCAGGCTTCTGCAGGCACCTAGCACTCACATGTACACACAGACACACAATTAAAAGTAGATTTTAAAAAAACAGTAAGAATGCACAGTCTGCAACCCAGCATCACCATTTCTAGGATTCTCCTAAACGGTGACAGTGGGCTAACAGGATGTTCATCCTGTACCATTGTTACTGTTTGAATGTGCCAGTGTTGAGGTCTTGGTCCACAGCTTGGGGCACTCTTGAGAGTTCATCCAATGTTAACACACTGATGCATTTCATTCATATAGTAAGGCTAGAGGAGGTGAGGCCTCCCTCTGGAAGAGGGTGCCCTCATGATTTCCTTTCTGCTGTCGAGGCCCATATGTATTAGCCCCACGTTGCGGGGCCATATGCTGCAGACTGGTGTTTGTGGGGATTCGATCGGGACCAGCCTGGGTCTGTTCCTGAGTTGGGGGAGTGTGAATAAGGGAAGGCTAGCTATAGACATTAAAGAAAAGACAGAGACATAAGATCATATCAGGAGGGCAGTATCAGTTAATACTGAATGCCATCTAAACATTCATACATCATCTTAAGTAACCAACCAAAGGTTGGGACAATGGCAGAAGACTTCTATTATCATGTATAAAGGGCAAATAGCAATTACTTCCCTTAATCCTAAAGACACTCCATACTACCTAGTCTTCAGGAAGAGTGTAAACTCACCTGGGCCTAGGCCTGTTTTATTTAGATAGGAGCCATTCACCACAGAGGCCAGGGCATCCTGCAGCCATTATCTTAATGATAAAGAATGATTTGAGCTCTCTGGCAGGATGGAATAGATTTCCAATATACAGCGCGCACACACACACACACACACACACACACACACACACACACAATCAGACAAGCACTTCAGTAAGCACTGTGAGGTCCAGCATTTTCTGCTACCCTGACATCAACTACCCCTCTGATGTCTGAGCAGCAGAGAAGGAAAGACTCTGCAGCATTCATCAACCAAAACTGTGTTCTCTTTTATTCCCTTATTTGGTTTGCTATTTGTTGTTTGAAATGGGATCTTGCTATGCAATAGTCCAAGATGGCCTTGAACTCGTGAATTCTAGGCAGCTGCTCTATCACTGAGTCACACCCCAGCCTCTCACTGGGGGATTCTAGGCAGGTGCTCTGCCACTGAGCCACACCTTAGCCTCTCACTGGGGGACTCTAGGCAGAATCTCTACCACTGAGCCACACCCCTTCCCCTCACTAGGGGATTCTAGGCAACTTTTCTACTACTAAGTTATATCCTAGCCCTCATTTTACTTTGTTAGGCAGGGTCTTACTAAATTGCCCACTCACTCTGTAGCCAAGATAGGCCTTGAAGTTAAGTGCCTCCTGTCTCAGGCATCCAATAGCAGGGATGACAGCTGTGTCCCACCACTCCCAGCTGTCTCCCTTCTCAGCTAAGGTGGGTTCCAGGGCTTTGCTCTCCCCTTTCTAACTCGCAGCACAGATGATCAAGACACTTCACTGGTCTCATTCACCTGTCCCTCCCTGTGGGCAGCTGTCCCCATGCCTCACATGCTCTTTGTATTTGTGTTCTTGCAAAATGTGTCCATGTGGATATCACATAGACAGACTCCCTATTGGATAATTTGGGCACAAATGATGGCTCTTGCCCCAAATGGGCAGCCAGAGACCTGGGCTCTGCTGTGCTCCTTCAGCTCAGCCTGCCACAACTGTGGAGCCACTGACAGGACCCACACTCACTAGGATGGAAAAGGCTGACTTACAGGGGACCAGAAACTTCCAGAACCATCGTCCTAGTCAGACAAAGTAGCATGATCCCCTCAGGTTGTCTAAATTGTCTCTTTTTAAAATCCTTTTTAGTTGTCTCTTTCAAAAACAGAATTTGAGGGGCTATGAACTAGCAAGAGGGTAAAAGCCCATGTGGTCAAGCCTGATTGTCTTGGGTTCTGTTCACAGGACCAGAATGAGGGATGGAGCAACTTCTGCAAGTTGTCCCCTGCCCCCCCAAAATGGGATACAAGGCATGCGCG